GGTGATTTAGAGGGTGAAAAGGACTCAATTGCCCATTTCATCCTGTCATATGTTACAGTTATCTATCAGCTATCGTGAAATCTACCCTAGCTTCGACTGGGGTGACAGCCTGAGAATCAGGGTGCAGAAAGGTACTGCCTGGAAAGTGTGTTGACAGCATATGCTGTAGAGTTTCCACATCCGATGAGGTATAGCTCCCAACAGGAAGGGTCATCGTTCCCAGCTTTGATCTCGGGTCCTTGGAGATAACTCTGTTAAGCCTTGCCGCCTTAGAAACAGTATTTATTCCTTGGCAGTATTCTCCATGAGTTCTTCGAGCATCGCGGATCGCATTTTTGAATCCCCTTTGGGCCAATTTGTACTCTTATTCCCAGCGGGCTCGTGCTTCCTTTCGTTTGGCTTTATTCAACAGCTTTCGAACTTTCTTACGATGGAGTTCAATTTTAGAATTCCACCATGGTGTTTTGCCTGGACAGTCTCACCTTTTCAGAGGACAGCTAGCTTCGTACGCGTCGACTATGGCAGAATTGAGACATCCTACGAACGTCACTATTTCTTACTCAGATCCATAGCGTGATGGCATGTTCCAGAGTCACCCTTCAAGCTCCTCGCGGCAGAGGTTCCATCTGGTCGCTCTGGGATTTCTAAACCATCGGTTCTCTTCTTGGATATTGCCTGTTACTGAAAACAATATATGACGTTGATCATAAACTTTCCTCCTTCGACACGCGCCAGTTACTGACCCTAGAGCAATAAGTCAAGTCAACGATTGTTCGCGCTACAGGCGTGAAATATGTTGATCCTCTATTGAGGATCTCCAGATTACTGGAGCTTAGTAATGTCAGTAGTGCCCTGCCCCTCGGAATGACGTCGCGAATTCCCCCACAGTGCGAGTTCGCGTCGCATTCAATCATCAAGGGCAGTCCCACTCCTCACAGCGCCTCACAAGACATCTTACCCCAAGAGGATGGTTCACCATTTCGCAAGGAAAGTAGGCTGAGCATACTATAATGTTGTTCATGCTCTCCTCTGTTGTACTGTCAACCTTGATTTTAATCGCTCGTGGTAGAATTCTGGTAGAAGAAACGCGCCAACACTTTTCGCATAAATACATGCTCTTGGCTTTGGGCTAGAAGTGCTGTAGTACAGTGTCTGTCCCGCTCGCGCCATTCCCCTCACTCTGTCATAGTGTACCCAAGGTTCCTGAATTAGTGCCAGATTTATTTTGAGCTCCCTTAATCGCTTAATCGCCTGCATAGGAGAGCCGTGGACCTCAGGGAGAAGTTATCCTGCCTAGAAGCAACTCATATCCCAAAATTTGTGAGGGAACTAGGACGAAAGAAATTGGAAAGAGAGGTTTCCATAGATTTTTCAGGACACAGTGTATTCACCCCTTATGTATACAGTGTGACCTATATAATGACACAGCATGGGAACTCGGAAACAGGAAGAGATACGAATTCGGTGAAATGGGATTAAAGTTGCGCATTTCGAGGGTCATACCAACAGCCTTCGAAAATTTTCAAAATTGCTTATAGTTTTTCAGTTATATCGAAAAAAGTGAATTTTTAGACAATCTTAATTTTTTCTACGTTATTATTAGATACAGAAAAATTGAGAATACTCTTCCATAGCAACTTTCAATGAAATTCAACATGGTGATATTGATTTATCTACGCGACGATTCGTATTGGTAGAACCATCATCAAATTTTTCTTATATTCCCAATACGGTTCTGATTATGTGTTCACAGATACTGATAACTTTTTTCCATCTGAATTCAACCATGTATTACTCAAAGTGGTTTGAATGTGTTCGACCTAGTTTAAGCCATCAATGTAATTTCAAAATTCCATCGGGGAAATACTATAAGTTCCACTCATTTCTGATCATTCAGTGTCAGACATTGATGGAGTAGTTATTTGATAAAAAGCAATATTCTCAGATATAATTAATAAAAAAATGGATATATATATATATATATATATATAGGGTGTTTCATTGGGAAAGGTTAATAATTCAACTGTGGATAGGGGTCACTGGGGTGATTTAAAAAAAACCATGGTTGATGGGTCTTCGACTTCTTATAACCGAGATACAGGATGTTCCATCAATTTTGTCCATATCTCCATTCTCTCATAACTTTCCAACCAACCTGTATATATTTTTGAAAATTGGTACACTTGCTCAATCTATCCTGTGGAATTGATTGAGGCAACAACAAAAGATAAAATCCAGGTCCGGCTTCACTTAAAATTCACAAATTCTTTCTGCCAGAAAACAACACCCTATACATTCGAATTTCTCATTTTTTTGCCATATCTGAAAAGAACATCAGAATTTCTATTCAACGATGTGCTTTTTATTCGTGCACAGACGATTTTAACTATTCATAGTATGTGCTCAAATAGTTATTTATGCAACAAGTGCAAAAAGTGAATGTTTATTGCACTCGACGTGAAATAAACAATTTTTGCACAAAATTTTTCTACGTTCATGCAAAAAGCAAAAAATGATTTATTGAGGTGCGGCACTAGATACAATTCTGTTAATTGTCAGAATTAATTTTTGACTGACGTTTCTATAACCACAGTTGCAATATAAAAAATGTTTGTCATGATGACAACACGTTGAAGTAGAATGACAGATGAGTGCAATAAAAACTTTATTGCACTAAGTGCAATAAAGAACTTCTTTTTCCACTAAATATAGTTCAATAAAGTTCTGCTTTTTGCATGAATGTAGAAAAATATTATTTTTGCTCATTTCGGGGTACAAAATTGGAATCAGACGAGATTTATTAATTTTTCACTTCCTATTCAGTATACGTGAGTATTACATTTAGAAGGAGTATTTCATATCGTTCTTTGTTCCAGACTTAGTTGCAGGTCCGTCATCAAAACTATACAGGGCTTTTCACGATAAGCGTTAATTAGATGTTTCTGGAAAACCAGGCAACGGATGAATCTAAAAATTCGAAGGTATGTATAAATTAACATGATCTACACGTCTGAAATATTTGAAACAATCCGGCGTTGCCGCTTCCACTCGAAAGTAGCAGCAACTTCGATTTTTCAAATGGGACACCCTGTATTTCATTACATTCTTGGATTCTTGCTGAGCAGCAGAATTCATCGATTCAAAACATTCAAGGTCTAGCGGGACTGATAACTGAGATATAGGATGTGGAAAATCGAGATGTTTCAACTTTAGAAATGTTTTGTGTTGAAACTATTTATTATTGCATGGTCAATGGTTCAATGTCCCTATCTCAACTTTCCATTCGATATTTGTTTCGATTAAATGTCAATAGATACAAAGTTTGGACAGGGACATAAGAGCCGTTTTGATCAATAATACATATATTTTCGCAAAATAATTCTAAAGTTGGAACATCTCGATTTTTCTCACTCTATATATCTCAGTTATTAGTCCCACTAGACCCCGAACTTTGTGAATCGATTAAATCAGCTCTTCAGGAAGCATCCAGGGTGTCCCATTTGAAAAATCAAAGTTACTGCTACTTCCGAGTAGAAGCGGCAACGCCGGACTGTTTCAAATATTTCAGACGTGTAGGTTATGTTAATTTATACATACCTTCGAATTTTTAGATTTATCCGTTGTCTGGTTTGCCAGAAACATCTAATTAACGCTTATCGTCAAAAGCCCTGTATAGTTTTGATGACGGACCTGCAACTAAGTCTGGAACAAAGAACGATATAAAATACTCCTTCTAAATGTAATACTCACGTATACTGAATAGGAAGTAATAAAATCAATAAATCTCGTCTGATTCCAATTTTGTACCCCAAAATGAGCAAAAATAATATTTTGAGCACATAATATGAATAGTTAAAATCGTCTGTGCACGAATAAAAAGCACATCGTTGAATAGAAATTTTGATGTTCTTTTCAGATATGGCGAAAAAAATGAGAAATTCGAATGTATAGGGTGTTGTTTTCTGGCAGAAAGAATTTGTGAATTTCGGACCTGGATTTTATCTTTTGTTGTTGCCTCAATCAATTCCACAGGATAGATTGAGCAAGTGTACCAATTTTCAAAATAATATACAGGTTGGTTGGAAAGTTATGAGACAATGAAGATATGGACAAAATTGATGAAACATCCTGTATCTCGGTTATAAGAAGTCGAAGACCCATCAACCATGGGTTTTTTGAAATCACCCCAGTGACCCCTATCCACAGTTGAATTATTTACCTTTCCCAATGAAACACCCTGTACAACGAAATACATTGAGAATTCGCATTCTCTATGTAATGAAAATATCAATTCTTTCTCGGTTTATTCAACAGAAAACAACTACTTTCCTGGCTATATACCACGACGAACATTGAATTATATCTATCGAACACACACGATAAGAATTTGAAAAATCAATCAATATCAACACGTTAAATCTCGTTTTTGGATGTATGATAAATTGCTATTCATCATAGAGGACGTGGAAAGAAATTCTAAATTTAGAAAACCTAATCACGAATCTGCGATTGAAGGTCTCTAAAAATAACAAGTTTCCATCGTTCAAGTTTGAACCCCTTGATCGGGTAAAAGTATTGAAAATGAATATTCTCAGATATAATTATGAACATACAAAAATTATGTATATAAAGAAATACATTGAGAATTCGCATTATCTATGTGATGAAAATATAAATTCTTTCTCGGTTTATTTAACAGAAAACAACTACTTTCCTGGCTATTTGCCACGTCGAACATTGAATTATCTGTTGAACAGAGCTGCCACTGTACACTGTATAATACAATACAACATGCTCATGAATATAATCAGAACTGTTTTATTTTCTTGACATTCAAATCGAGTTAACAATTTGAGTTGTTCTTTCATTTGTTGTTCGAAGATTTTTCGAAATAGATTTTGTCAAGTTATAAGTGAATGAAAAACAATGATAAATAAATATGTTATTTTATTCATCATCTGAAATCAAGATATTAAATCATTTTTTTTTTATTTTTGCAGCTGTAAAGAACCAGAAGCGGAAGGAATATCAAATTTGCTTGAAGGAAACTTTGCTCCACCACCTCTGCAACAAGAATTACTGTCTCCAAAATCTGATGAAACCAAACCAAGTGCTGCTTTACTAGATCTGAATTGGTCCATGAATTCCGATTTCCTTGGAGGAGACTTCATGCCATCCAAGCTCATGCAAGAAGGATCTTTTGACTTTTTAAGTCCACCAGCAGTTAACATGGAAACTCCAGAAACTGATGATAAAAATATTCCTAAAGCATCGACGACTGAAAATCAGGTTTCCTGGCTCAGTTTGTTTGCGGAATTGGACCCCCTTGCAAATTCCTCTATTGATGAGAAATTTGCAGGGGATAGAGCATAACAACCATATTCGTATATCAAATCTCAACACTTCATCTCATATTATATTTTTCGACTATGGCTGTAATTTTTACCAAAGATTTTCGAATATTTTAATCCCAACATTCCTTTTAACTAAATTAAATAACTATTAATTATTTTATTATATTTTATCCTTTGAGTGAATAAGTGAAATATACTATATACTGAGTTCTCTTCTGTCTATTTCATTCATATTGAGGGTGTTGTAGAGTTGTGTGTGTGGTGACAAAAGCCTAGAGGACAAAATTTGAAGATCTTATACATTTCAGAGAAATAATAATAATGTGCAATTTGGATAATATACAGGCTGATTCACGATGGAAGGCACATTAGACGTTTCTGGAGAATGTAACTTGGGATTATTGTGGAAATTTGGTGCCTTGGTTAATTAGTTGTTCTTTATCGACCTAAAATATTCTCATCGCTGCAACTTTGCCGCTTATATTGAAAAGTAGCAACAACTTTGATTTTTTGAATGGGACACCCTGTATATTATTCCATTTTCAGATTCTCCCTGAAGAGCTGATTTCATTGACCCATAACACTTGGGGTCTAGCATTGACAAATACAGATATATAGGGTGTGAAAAATCGAGATTTTTTTACTTCAAGATTTTTGCTGTCGAAACTATTCATAATTGGTAAAAATGGTTTCCATGTCCCTACCTCTACTTTTCATTCACTATCAATGGATATTTAATTGAAATAGGTACAGGGTGGTTCAGAATTGAGATTTTCAACCACCCTATATCTATTTCAATTAAATATCAATTGATAGTACATGAAAAGTTGAGATAGGGACATAAAAAAACCGTTTTGACTAATTATGAATAGTAGTAATCTTGAAGAAATCTCGATTTTTCAAACCCTATATCTTTGTTATCATCCCCGCTAGACCCCAAGTGTAATAGGATAAAATCAGCTCTTTAGGAAGAATCTGAAAATGGAATAATATATAGGGTGTCCCATTCAAAAAATAAAAGATGTTGCTAATTTTCAATATAAGCGGTAACGTCGCAGTGTTGAGAATATTTTAGATGGCAAGAACACAACTCATTATCCAAGAAACCAAATTTTCAGTATAATCCTACGTTGCGTTCTCTAGAAACGTCTAATGTGTCATCCACCGTGAATCAACCTGTTAAGCATGTTCATTTCTCATATAAAGTTCAGAGATATGCCGAGGTATGATATTGTCCGTTTTTCTCGAAAACGAAGCAATATAAGAAGAAATTTCAGGAGACGAAATATTGAATTTTTAATGGGTTTATCTGAATATTCGAGAACTCAAAAAAAAAGAACAGGGTGACTTTTTTCTACAAAAAAAGACGAATTGCCCGATGGGTATGCCCCTAACAATTCTGGATCGAATCTAAATATTCCAGTAGATGTCTGATGATTGTGTGAATAAGCCATAAAAATTTCATTCAAATCGGCTTAGGCGTTTTCAAGATATTGATTCTCTAACTTGGACAACCTGTATCTCGCACAGGAAGCATTTTCGGACCCATGTTCATATGAACTTTTTTTTCATATACTTATTGTTGAGAGGAATCTCCCCTAGGCTTTTGTCACTACAACTCGGGAACACCCTGTACACTACAGAACAAGAACTAAAAAAATTGTATGTTAAGCATTTTGAAAAAAAACTTCGTCAATTTAGGCACATCTGGAAGTCCCCAATCTCAAATTTCATTACTGTAACTTATACCGAAAATGAATGATTTGAGACACTATGTTACTCTTAATCCGCATATTCGATTATTTCCATGAAACATAGGAGTGGTTACACAGAGCACTCTTTAATTGGGATTTGTGGGTTCTAGATGTTCCTAAATCTATAGGATGGAAGGAATATTGAGGGAATACCTTTTCAACAATATTCATGAGGTCAGTGTACAGGGTGGCCAACTAAGACTCCAGAGTTCGATTTCTCTGTTGTCTTGAGAGATACAAAAAGAAGTCATGTAACAAAATTGAAGTGATAACCGAGCTGCACATTTCAAAATTATTTTGGAATATACAGGGTGTTCCATGAGGTAACAGCATATCAAATTTATGTTTGTTTCATATGAACAACCTATATTTTATTTCATTTTTGAATTCTCCCTGAAGATCTGATTTCAACGACCCATCATACTTAGGGTCTAGCAGTGAAAGTTACTGACATATATGGTGTGCAAAATCGAGATTTTCCAAGTTCAAGATTTTTTTCTGTCGAAACTGTTCCTTATTCGTCAAAACGGTTTACATTTCCCTATCTCAACTTTTCACTCACTATCGATTGGTGTTCAATTGAAATTGATACAAGGTGGTCGAATCTGAATTTATAATTTGTTTTAATTAAATGTCAATTGAACACCAATTGATAGGGAGTGAAAAGTTGAGATAGGGACATGTAAACCGTTTTGACGAATAATGAACCATTTCTACAGAAAAAAATCCTGAATTCGGAAAATCTCGATTTTGCACACCCTATATGTCAGTAACTTTCACTGCTAGACCCTAAGTATGATGGGTCGTTGGAATCAGATCTTCAGGGAGAATTCGAAAATGAAATAAAATATATGGTGTTCTAATGAAAAAAACATAGCTTTGATGTGTTGTGACCTTACGGAACACCCTGTGTATTTCAAAGAAATTCTGAAATGTGAAGCTCGGTTATCACTTTAATTTGAATGCGAAACTTTTTTTGTATCTCTTAAGACAACAGAGGTATCGAACTCTGGATTCTTAGTTGGCCACCCTGTACATAAATAGATGAGAACATATTGATTAGTGAAATGTATGTGAAATATAGAACTCCGAAAGTAGTGTTCCATGTAGTATGTATATGCAGTATGTATACAGGGTGGGTCACGGTCGATGGCACCTTAGACGTTTACGGAGAACGGGGCATAAGATCATTCTGAAAATTTGGTTACTCAAGTAATTGCTCTTGATCTATCGATCTAAAATATTTTCAGCTCTGCGGCGTTGCCGCTTCTATCGAAAAGTAGCAACAACTTTGTTATTTTAAATGAAACACCCTGTATTTTATCGCATTTTCAGATTCTCTCTGAAGAGATGATTTCATCGATGTATCACACTTGGGGTCTAGCGGAAATGATTACAGAGATATAGGGTGTGAAAAATCGACATTTTTCAACTTTAGGAATTTTTTTTGTCGAAACTATTCATTATTGGTCAAAACGGCTCACATGTCCCTATCCCAACTTTTGATCAACTATCTACTGACATTTAATTGAAACAAATACAGGGTGGTGCAGAATTCAGATTCTTGATCAGCCGGTATATGTCCCAATTAAATATCAGTAGATAGTAAATCAAAAGTTGAGATAGGGACATGTAAGCCGTTTTGACCAATAACCCAGCAAACATTGAACTAGCGGGAGAAGTCCGGCCTAGTGCAGGTTAGTCTGGGAAAGTGACGATGCCGGGGTATAGGTAATGGGCCGATGATTTTCCCATGCCAAGTAACCATCAGTTAAAAATACGATTATGGCCTTGTGATGGTAAGATGTCTGGAACTAATTGAATACTAACGAGATCTGGCCCTTTGCTGGCCAATTTCATATTCACTACCCGTCCCCCTGGCGGATGTTTTGGGAACGTCTACATCAACAATCAGCTGATCAATATTATATGTGACTAAGATGGCTGACTCTCGTGAGTGGTGATCGCGTACTAGTTTGTTTATGTCGAATTAATGTGGTCCTCTCTTCCGTGGTGGTTATTTATGCTGGCAGGAGTATTCTCAATTGATAATAATAGAAGACAGATCCTTCAATTATGATAATATTGGGTAAGTATCAATGTACCTACATAGTGTTTTGAATGTCATTATTTGATACATGTGTTTGGTATCTCGTAACCTCATATACCTAATGATTATGATAATTGGAGTTAACTATACTTCTCTAAAAGCAACCATCATTTTTAACTCGTTTGTTACTATCAAAAACAATCTTAGGTTATAAGAACCTATCTCTATATTGAATAACTGAATAACAATAAGATTTTAGCTACAGAATTACCTGTGCCAACACCATAATGAGAATTGAAAAGCTCCATGTTATCACGTCATTTGACTATATTATCAAGTTATAAACTCATGCAACTCATAGGCCACTAATATAAAACAAATGATGCATTTTATATTTCAGAAGTACCTCACAACGAAGAATCAACTTCTAAGGAATGCTACCCAATAAGATGTAGATACCACACACCAACCAGTAAGCAGTCACTTCGAGAAGTTTCATCGTTGAAGAACATAAAGGTTAAGAAGATATTATCATTGTGTCTTTCATAAAATTGTTTTCTTGAAATCTGGTATGTGTCTGATTTATGATGAGAGGGTTATGTTGTGAAATAAAGAGGTACTAGAACTTTCAGATCCATTGGACCCCTAAAACCCCTACCCCTTCCCTACCTCGATAGTATGTAACCAATGTCGTTAATTCCCCATTACAGTCCCATCATTTATGTATATGCTGGGCTCGCTATGGGAAACTCAATGTGTCGATTATGTTGTACTGGCCTTTTGCCGGGGAACTGAATATGATTGCTGGGTACCCAGCACTGGGACCAGCTGCCGGCCGCAGTGTACTGATATATAGAGTCCCGCATATGGGACCATTTACTGGGCCGCTGATGTCAGGAATGGGAAAAATATACTAGGCCATTGATGCCCCATATCAAGATGTTTGCTGGGAATGAATAGTTTTGACAAAAAAAATTCCTTAAGTTGAAAAATGTCGATTTTTCACACCCTATATCTCTGTAATCATTTTCGCTAGACCCCAAGTGTGATATATCGATGAAATCAACTCTTCAGAGAGAATCTGAAGATGCAATAAAATACAGGGTGTTCCATTTAAAATAACAAAGTTGTTGCTACTTTTCGATAGAAGCGGCAACGCCGCAGAGCTGAAAATATTTTAGATCGATAGATCAAGAGCAATTACTTGAGTAACCAAATTTTCAGAATGATCTTATGTCCCTTTCTCCGTAAACGTCTAAGGTGCCATCTACCGTGACCCACCCTGTATATTATTCGACGTTGCAATAGCCTACTATATTAGTAATTTTTTTGACGAAAAAAATAATTACTATAGATTTAAGCAAACTAGGAAAAGATTATTGGACATAGCCCTGAGGAAGAGTTAACCGCAGTCACGTGTTACGGGCGGCCCTAATCAGTACGGTGAAAGAAGTGCAAAAGATAGGTAACACTTGTGGAAGACGAAAAATCAAATCGACGGAGTCAACAAACAGAAGCCAGCCACACAATTGTGGTTTCGGTCAGAAGACCCTTTTCAGGGCTACAACTAACGTCACCACAGAGGCAGCTAAAGATACCTGCGTGACATCCGTCGATTTGTTGTTTCGTCTTCCACCAAGTGTAGCCTATCTTTTGCACTTCTTTCACCGTACTGATGAGTGCCGAAAGCCCGAAACACGTGTCTGCGGTTAACTTTTCTTAAGGGCTATGTCCAATAATATTTTCCTAGTTTGCTTAAATATACAGGGTTGGGCAAAAGTATGGAACCAGGTGAATATATCGGTAACCGTTCGTTAAATTTTTTTGAATATATGTACAGGGTGATTTCAAAACGTGGTGGATTTGAAAATGATATCGTCGATGTTGCCACTTTTTCAGTTTTTCCGTAACTATTATTAACTTCCTCATTTTAAATAGAACACCCTGTATTTTATTGAATTTTCAGATTCTCCCTGAGACGCTGATTTCTTCGATTCATCACACTTGGGGTCTAGCAGGAATGATTACTGAGATGTAGGGTGTTCAAAATCGAGATTTTTCAACTTTAGGATTTTTTGTGACGAAACTATTCATTATTGGTCAAAACGGCTCACATATCCCTACGTCAACTCTTGATTCACCATCTACCGACATTAAATTGAAACAAATACAGGGTGGTTCAAGATTCAGAAATCTGATCACCCTGTATCTGTTCCCATTAAATACCAATAGATAGTAGATCAAAAGTTGAGATAGGGACATGGGAGCCGTTTTGACCGATAATGAATAGTTCCGACACAAAAAAATCCTAAAGTTGAAAAATCTCGATTTTGAACACCCTATATCTCAGTAATCATTCTTGCTAGGCCCCAAGTGTGATGAATCGATGAAATCAGCTTTTCAGAGATAATTTGAAAATTCGATTGAATACAGGGTGTTCTATTTAAAATAAGGAAGTTGATAATAATTCCGGAATAACTAAAAGTGTGGCAAAATCGACGATAACATTTTCAAATCCGCCACGTTTTGAAATCACCTTGTACATATATTCAAACAAATCTAACAAATAGTTACCGAGATATTCACCTGGTTCCATACTTTTGCCCAACTCTGTATAGTAGTTATATTTTTCGTCAAGTAGGCTATTGCAACTTCGAATAATATATACATACTGCATATACATACTACATGGAACACTACTTTCGGAGTTCTATATTTCACATACATTTCACTAATCAATGTGTTCTCATTTATTTATGTACAGTGACCTCATGAATATTGTTGAAAAGGTATTCACGATCTACGTAGCCATATCCATTCAAATTTGAAAAAGATATATTAACAGTGTTGAAAAGTACCAAGTTGTCTCTTCTAATAATGGTTACTGCTAAAGAATAATTTGAAAATGGCTCCTTTGACATTTCGTTTGAAAAAAGCCGCTAGTGTTGTAAAACGATTCCCTGAATTCGAAAATAGAAAAATAACCAAGAAGTTTCCTTCAAATGAATTTTCATAAAATAAGTGGAACTCCTCAGTTTTATGTCCACGCTGTACAGAACGATAAAGTCCAAGTCGTGACGTACATTCTGAATCTAGTCTGAATTAAGCTGATGATGAATATATATTTATATCATGAGAAATAGCGATGATCATCTATCTAACAAAACAACAAAAAACTGTAGACATAGAACGAATAACTGGAGATCAAAATTCGACACGAGTAGAACTGGTAAACAAAAACGTACATAACCACAAAATCAGATCAGCTCTTGGTGTGCCTGTTAGTATTTTGTGTGGTGTGGGCGGGCTCAAAGTACTATGCGCTGTTGCCAGATATAATCTGCAACTTTCCTAGAAAATCGTTTTATAGAGGAACGAATTCATTTGCAAAATAATGACTGACAAGTTATGATTTTCATTTTGTACCATAACGAAAGTGAAAAATTATAGACACTATGTATTTATTTTTCAAAATGCGTCTGGCGTCTCACTAATTGCATCCAGAGAAGTTCTCTATCTAGAAGGATGTCGAAACTTTAGAGGGGGTCAACATTTCGTTGAAAAACTCGGTATTTCATTTATTATATTCCCCGATGCTGAAGCATTCCAGGAATTAATACTGCTCGGCTTATTAAAATGGCTTCTGTAACTTGGTATATAATTACAATAATAATGTATCATGTGAGTGAAAAAAACACTATGATTAGTTTTAGAATAACATTTATAATTAGTGTGCAATGAAACACAGCACAAAAATAATTTCAAACAAGGTACATTTTGGAAATGTGGGACTCTCATTAGTAACATAAATCTCTAGTAAGGGTATCGTTTCAATAAATCTTCAGTCTACAATACATCACAATGAATCATAAAAGGGGAATTTCAAGAGCTACAACAATCAGCGAATTGGGTCAAAGCTGCTTTCACCCTGAAAATAAAAAAATATATTCATCGAAGTGTTCAAAATAATAGTATTGTCAACGAGGATGAAACGGATATAATGGGGTGACGAGGATCGTATAGTGTAGTTTCATGGGAGCATGCATGTTTCTGTAAACAACTTTGTATTCATTGATCAAACTGAGAAGGTATCATCATTACCTACAAATTACCATTTGATATAACCCAGTCAACTAGTTTTTTTACACCACAGGCGAGTAGAAAAAAAATTCTAATTTGAATTTAGAATTAGGTCTGTTTTTGAAAGTTTGACAAACCTATCTGGGGATTCTTCCATAGAATACATACAAACAAAAACACGTGAAACTAACGTAAACAAGTCTGTTATTGTCAATCGTTTCAGCCGGATCTAAAATTTTTAGGTTATATTTTCAAAGTTATGAGGAAAAAACGAATAAGTTCACTTGTTACAGGGTGGAGCGGCTTACATGTAAAGTGAAAGGAATATGCTGATAGTTTATAAAAAATTTAAAAAAAAGGTTGTGCCAGAAGGCAATCGCAATTATAAAGTAGAATATTCAAAGAGAGGGCAGTGAAAGCTGTCAAGAGGGGTCAGCTGAGTATAAGGAGAGGTCGTCCGAACACTTCGCAGTCCCGTACACCACCTTGAGACGATAGCTATTTTCATGAACTTCTGTTCGTTTGTTTTTCTTTGTAATCAATTTATATTTTTTTTAAATGAATTTCCTCAATGGGTGGAGAGGATCCACCCATTGACATGTTTGAAGTAATATTTCAGACATTTTAAAGGATCCTCTTCACCCCAAAATCGTTCATGATAGTTCAATTTTTTATTTTTTCACTAAGCTCTAGAGGAAGGATATACGAATCATATATATTTTTACTCTCTCAAGGAATGTACTTTGGTTGCAGCGCTGAAAAAATTCAGATTTTGATCCGTTTCACCCCAGTTGACCGTATCATAGAGCTGTACAAATATGAACTTCATGAACCCCCTACATTCCGATTTTAAGATTATTGATGGAACATCCCGAAAAATTGAGATTTTATTATACTATACAGGAAACTTCCTGCAGTGAAAAATTATATTGGGTGGATAGTGTGGATGATTTTGTTTCCTCTTCATGACAATACATGTAGGAAAAAACTACTCGCTCGTAATACTATTAATAGTAATTCTGTCAGAAATAAACGGGATCCAATAGAGCAGTTCAGGTAGCGTTGAGAAAAAAAATGCCTTCCCCATCTGTCCCTGTCTTCAATGTTTCAACATAACATATTGAAATTTTTATGTTGGCAACACTGAAAATAAGAGAATTGAGCTCTTTTCTACCTTGAACGAGAGAGAGGAAAATTCTCTCCTCATACATCTCTCTCTTCAATATTACAAACGTGGCCGCATAACATTTCGAATTTTTGGAATGAAATTTCAAATTATATCATACTTATTTTGACATCATTTGTTAATATCGTTAAATTTGACACTAAGCTGAATTCAAAAATAGTTCAGTGGCACAAAGTAGATGTTAGACAAAGAAAGATTTATCGGATCTCTCTATATTTCAAGGCGGCCACGTTGGTAGCATTGAAGAGAAAGATGGAAAAGGAGAGAACTTTCCTCTCTCTCATTCAAGGTAGAAAAGAGCTTAATTGGAGATGAAGAACATTCTAACCTTTTTTATATTGAGCAGGTTAGTATGATCTCCATTTTTGCTATTTCCAATGTTACTAACATAAAATTACCATTATTTTAAGTTGGAACACTGAAGACAAGGACAGATGGGGATGACATTCAACGCTGAACGATAACACCACGAGTCTGCAGGATGAGTGGTGGTCAAGATTTCTGACAGAATTTTTGAGTCTTGTTTACATCGAACTTTCAGTTTCCGCCGTCTTGTTTTTTTCGACCTATCTTATATAATATTATGTATGTAACAATAAAATCAATTATCAATAATTCTCGGAGAAAACCGAAACGTAACCATTTTAATCATTCAACTTATAAACAGAAATAATGTATCATTCCTTTAGAAAATTATATAATACGACGTAGTACGCCTTCTCGTTTCTAATCAACGCAAATGTCACACATATCACCTTTTTACAATCATTTGATCAATCATAATAGAAGGACGTAGAATTAATTTGACTTGTGAAATTTGCTAGTGTCTTTTTATCAAATTGGTGAAAAAATAATCTTCCCAATTACAACTCGTCCCTCAAATTTTATCCGATATTCTTTTATTTTCATCACTCAAACTATTTTATTTGGCGCGAAATAATTCAAACAAACCGAATTACCTTGGTATTACCTTCGATATTTTTTCTTTTCCACAAAAACTTGTTTATTTGGCAAAAATATAAAAACAAACCGATTGATATAGTCAAGAGTTCTTTAGGACTAATAAAAAAGTTCAAGTGATGAAAATGAAAAATTATCTGATGAAATTTGAACAACAAGTTGTATTTGGAAAGATTATTATTTTCATCAATTTGATAACGGCAATTCGATCAAATGGTTCTAAAGGTGATGTGTGTTGCAAACATTTGCTGTGACTACACGCGAGGTTCTGTGCATCATGTAATATAATATTTGAAGGAAATGATTTGTATTATTATTTTGAATGTCGATTAACAAAGTTACTTTTTGGTTTCTCGGAAAACTGATAATAGATTTTGTTGTTACTCACATATTAGATGGGTCGAGAGAAACCAGATGGCAGACAAATGTAAGTTTGATTAATTCGGACAGTTCAATGTGAACATCAAGGTTTTATCGACGAGCAGTTTTATCAATATAATACCGAATGATTGGATAGAATCTCGCACCTGTCTTCATCATTATCAGTATTAATGTAAATATTAAAGTACAGTGCATCCCATTTTGGTTGAGACTATCAGGTATGTCGGTTGTTATCAAACATAGAGCCTTGTGGTTTTCACATCCCTGTCTTACTTTTTTGTGAAACTCAAGATGGTCTGCTCAGATTTAGCATATCTGCTTCCGTTTATGAGATACAGGGCAATTTTGAAAATCTTACTTTTTGGACCCCCCCATATCTACGGAGTTATTAGAAATACTGTTGCGGTAAGAACTACGTTCAATAGAGAAATTTGCGCAGAATCCAGTGGCGAACTCGAATTTTTTTTGGGTCATGGTTTTAGAGATGCGATACAAACTGAAATATATTCACAATAGTTGCGTTTTATTTGTCCGATTCCGTCACCATAATCACTCAATGTATCGTTTTATTTGCTACTTTTCATTCCGTCTCACTAAAAGGAATGACGAGGAATGACTGTTGACAGTTGTCAAAAAATTAAATTAGTTTGACGAAAAACGAAACTTTATGAAGGTAGAAGACATTTAGAATACATTTTTATCGTGAGGTTCACTAGTTTATGATTCTATCAAGTAAAGACATGTCCCATATGTTCATTCCCAGATAACATTATTTCTACTCGGAATTCTCTGTATCTCAGAGAAGTTTCTCCAATCACCACATCACTGCTCCAAATATGCGTCGATTCAGTTTCTAGATTTTCACTCTTAGTATTGTGAATATGAAATTATTCGGAGGTCCTATTTATGAATATAACCTCCATCATCTATAATATGTCAATGCTCATATGCAAGGTCATGAAGTTTCTCGTTTTATTTGTAAACATCATTCTGTTCTCACCACCGCTACCAGAATGGAACAAATAAAACGTAACTACTACATAGGATTTCCAGAAATGCTAAAAAAAACACTGAACATTGAATTATGATGAACTTTTACTAGTGGGCCGTGGATTTTTCAATTGTTTAGTGTCAGATAATTCTCATTCGTGATATATCATGGCCCACTAGCTAAAATTCAGTGTTTCAGTGTTTTTCCAGCATTTCTGGAATGTATTAAGTATTAAAGGGAAAAAACGAATTCAACGCGATAATAAAATACAAGATGAAAATTAAATTTGAGTACGCTACTGAATTCTGCTCGAAATTTGCTGTTAGACGTGGTCCTTTGCACAGCATTATTCTTGAAATTTCGTAGAAATAGAAGGAGGGATCCAAAGAGTATGAATTTTCAAAATCGCCCTATATCTCATAAACGGAAGCAGTTAAGTGTGCGAAATCTGATAAGACCATCTTTAGTTACACAAAAAAGTAGGATAGGAACGCAAGATTCTATCTTCAATAACAACCGAGAAACCTATAGCAGTCTCAACCAGAACGGGATGCACTGTACTTCAATCATATACCGGGTCTTCAACAATGATTGAAAACCACGTGACAGATCACTATGCAATCAAGAATGCAGTCGTATCTCTTCAACATGGTTGAAAAAGATACGCCGCAATAAAAACGGTCACGTGGCACTCCATCACTGTTGAAGACAAAAAAATATTACCTAATAAGTTCAACTTATATTGTGACGTATCTGCTTGGTCTCAAAATGAATGAAGGCTAATGGTCTTGATGGAATTCCATCCATTATTCTCAAAAAGTATGGACCAGAATTGACACCGGTCCTCTGCAAGTTATTTACTAGCTCGTGCAAGTCGAGTGTTTTTCTGTTTTGCTGGAAAATAGCTAGAGTCCAAAAGTGTGGACCAGAATTGACACCGGTCCTCTGCAAGTTATTTACCAGCTCGTGCAAGTCGAGTGTTTTTCTGTTTTGCTGAAAAATAGCTAGAGTCCAAACAATCCCCCAGAAAAGTAAGAAAAACCTGCCCAACAACTATAGGCCTATTGTCCTGTTACCAGTCATCTCCATAAGTGATGTTGAAAGCCATCAACATTGAGCTCATCAATTATCTCGATTTCTCAGGAATAATAATTAATGATAGACAATATGGCTTTCGCCATCGAAGATCCACTGAGAGATTCACTTGGCTACGTTACCCATATAATAATAAGACAAGCTTCATTAGAAAACATGGGGAATCACTAGCTGTGGCAGGGTGCGTATCGCGATGCCCAATTCCCACCATGCCCAACCTTCATGTCGACGATTA